GAAAAGAAGATACGTTTTTCCCTATGTTCAGTGCAAACACACTGTGATCCCTAAGTCCTGTTCCAGGTCCAGTGTGCTCTGACCCTAAAAAGTCCTCTGACCCTACTGCCATCAAGCAATTGCTGGGAAAGAAGAGTCGGGTTCTTTAAACACCCACCACAATATTTAAAGAAATATGTGTTCCCCCACTTTTGGGGGGAGAGGTGGGGGGAGCCTGCCATTATCTGCTTGCCAAAAAGAGAAACACTTTGAAGTTCTTTGAAGAAAAAAAAGTCCAACCTGGGAAACAGATTTTTTTAAAAATCCTCTCTGCCTAGTTGCCATCTGTCCTAAAGATAAATTGCATTTACATTTAATCTAAAATGGAATAGCATATCTAAATACTTTTTTCTGTTGTATCCAAAGTAAGCCATTCCCACAGCAGAAGAAAGCATATGGAGCATATGGATTTCACTCTGTACAAGTTGTCTAAAAGAGGTTCCATCACAGGGCGGTTGGCTCATCCCTATTGTTTTGCTGTGGGATAGATAAACCTTTGGTCACCAAAGACCCCACTGGGCTGGGAAAACAATGCAGAGAAGCCAAGGTCATTACATTCTGTTTTTTTCTTGCACTATGAGTTCATGTGTTTTCCTTTTTAAAAAGGCAATGAAGAGTACACTAATATTTGACAATCATTATTAGTGGAAGCTTAGAGGGGATCACATAAGACCTGAGGCTTACAAGTCTTTCACCAGGTTCCAGTGGTGCAAAATAATACAGAAGGAAAAGAATAGGGGAAGAGTCAAAATCTCAAGCATCTACTAAATAAGTTTTATAGGCTCACCACATTAGGAATTATTTTTCTTCAGGGGCAAGACTAAGGAGAATGACCTTTTGTACAAAACTAATATTTAATACTGTTAAATTTTAAAATTGATCTTACGTTAAAATACCAATGAAAAATGAAAGTAATAAAAATTATATCTTAAAAGAAGTGGCTAAAACCCCATTAGTATAAAAACTAAATAAAATAAGACTGAAAAAGCACTTAGATTTTAAGTTTTTCAGACTTGGGGATGGTCTTGCATTATGGCCTCCTTGGACAGGTTAGAATGGTTATGGAAGTGGAATATAGTTTTGTTGGGTTTCATCTAGCCATTGAATTATTTTGTAGAATTTGCCATAGCCTTAATGACCTTCTCAGATCTGTTTTTACTGAGATGAAGTATTGTTGCCTGACAATAACCTGGTGCAAGTTTTTGGAGCTCCCACAGTGGAAGCTCACTTCAATGACCTCTCCCATCACTCCTTGCAGTAGGTGGGAACCTTCAGCAGGGATTTTCTATTCGCTTGCATTGGATGTGCAGACTTGTCCTGGGATAGGTAGTCCCGCAGATTCCCAGGCCCTGAGCCATACAGACTTTCACATGTAATGACCTTAATGGTTAAATAAAGCAAAACTGTTAATAGATGCATGTCTATTTTATAGAGTAGTGGCAGTGTTTTGAAGCTGGATCCATTTTTGTTTTTCTGTCAGTATGTTTGATAATTTACAAACATAGCATTCTGGTAAACTATATTGCCCCCATTTTAATTCCTGCAACTGGTAAATAATATTTGTTTTACATACACAGGAGTAGTTTTCACCCACTGTCTGGATGATATGTTTGGGGGCTTATGTATATTGACAATATTTGTACTTTAAGGCCATTGTTAAATAAAGCAAATAGTTGTATGGATTTAATAATTAGAGTTATGAAATTATTGTATATGTTTCTAAACAAAGGTATGGAAAAGATCGAGAGATTGTATTTTGGGATACAGATTTTAGCCCTTTCATAAATGAATAACAAGCTTGGATTTTGAGCAAATGACCACATCAGATACACTTGTCACCCAAATACCTAGGAGTCCTCTAGTTTTCCAGAATTGAGTCTCAGGTTACACATGCAGCTATTGGGGAAAAGGCTTTTATGTGCTGTCTCAAGAGCTGCCTGTCTAGTGCCCATCTGAACTGAGTTATTTTAACCAGATTTTTAAAGTTTATGGATGAGTATATAGTGAATAAATTGACTTAATCTTGTTTGGCATAATCTGTCTTAAAATGGTTATAATGGTGGGTACTTACATGTGTGTGTATTGTAAAATTACCATATGGATAATAGCCCTATAAGCCATTAGTGCTTCTGAATATTTGAGTATCTTGGGTAAGGAGAAGAATCAGTGCTGAAGCAGTCACAGGAAAAGCCAACTGAATTAAGTGTTGTTCCACATATTGTATTTCTTATCAGCATCCAATTCCAAACCAATTTTAAAGTAGTCTATATTTGCAGTAAAATAGCATAGTGCACTACAGCTATTAATTGCTTGTCATACACATCAATAACCCTTTGTATCTATAGTCAGCCTTCTTGATTTAGATGATATTATGTATCATAAAGTTGTTGTCAATTCTTAGTGACCACCTAGATTTTCTCCATGATGATCTGTCCCTGACCTGGTCTTTCTGGTCTTCCAATGGAGCACCTGTTGCCCCTGTAACTGAGTCCATCCACCTTGATGTTGGCTGTCCTCTTCTTCTCTTTCTTTCTACTCACTCACTTATTTGTTAAATTTATCCCTGCCCATTTCCCCCTAATGGGGGACTCTGGGCGGCTTACAACTGATTAAAACAATAAATAAAATACTGTTACATAAAATCTAAAGCTTTTCCCACTATTAGAGCCTTCTCTAGGGAGCTAGGTCTTCGCATAATATGTCCAAAGTAGGATAATGGTCATTTGTGCCTTGAGTAAGAACTCTGGGTTGATTAGATGATGATAGCTTTCAAATAACCATGCTTTAGAACTGTGCCTTTAATGTCCAGTAAATGGTTTAGGTATACTTTTATATGGAAAGAAGGAAGTGTACTTACAGCAATTTAGAAGTTAGAGTGGAGGACTAAGGTGCTTGTCAAGAAAGGCATCCTCCCAATATAGCATATCATTGTTGTGCTTTTCTCTATTTTTGTCCTAGAGCTAAGATTGAGACTAAATATTGTGCAGTCCCATAGCTAATCCTGTGAAGCTTGATGCAAAATTGTTATCTTTTTTTCCTATGCCCCTTTAGAGGAGATATGTACTTTGGTGATTGCAGAGACTTTTCCTGAAGATGCAGGGACCTTTGCATGTACAGCAAGCAATGATTATGGATCAGTCACAAGCACTGCCAAACTGACTGTGCTGTCAGGTATTTAGCAGTTTTTTGATGAGTTGTGTTGTGTACAGTGTAAATGAAACAAGGTGAAATGAAACTAGTTTGGCTCCAGCTGCACAGAGTAGTGTTGTATCTTCTGTTATCTTCCCACATCTTTTACTTTATATCTGGGTAAAAAGAATGTATAATGTTGACATGTCTAAGAGAATTCTGCATAATCCTCTAAAACTTTAGGAAGTAAAATTGGATTCATAATGGTGAATCCAAATGCCAGAAATACAGCTGCTAATTGTAAAGGGAGCAGAAATTTGACCTCTCTTTCAATTGGACTACAAACTGCAAAAATAAAATTATGTAAGAAATGCACCGACATAGTAAAAGCCTCAGTTATGCATTAGAGTATCTTGCTATTATGAGCATGCAACTATACTGAAATATGGTTCAAGATGAAACCAGTCTTTCCCATCCAAGGGGACTGAATTAAAACCCCCATGCTTTCCAGCCAGCGTTAAATGGTTCTGGATTTTCCTTTTAAGCCTGGTTCAGCTCGTGTCTTTTAAATTATGAAGAATTTAATAAGAATAAGAATTCTATATATTAATGATAAAACAACTACAGTTGGCAGTATGTTTCATTATGATAACTAGTCAAGAACATATTCCTATAAATGCTGGTTTCTGTAACTGCCAGTAAGGAATGTGCTGTGTGAACATTTGATATATTAGTACATTCAGTTAATTACAATAATTATTTCTCCCCCCCCCACTTATTTTTGTTTGTGTTCTACTATGGGGGGGAGTTAATTAAAAGTATGATCAAATTTTAACATTAAGATTCTGAGGCTAGGTGGCAGCAGAGGCAAAATGGAAAAAATAAGTAACTCACATTAAAAGCAAAGAACAAAAACAAAACAGTAATTCTCCTGTGAGCATTAAATGTAAACCAGAAATGCATACAAAAGTCTTGGAATAAGTTGGTGTTTCTCATACACAGTGATCTGCGATGAACCCAAACAAGACTGATGCATACAATTCATTCATTTAGCCAGTATACTGAGCATTCATAAATCAATTACTGTTCTCAGCTAGCAATCACTTCCACTTATATCATGAACAATAGCAGTAAATAAATATTTATTTATGGTCCTTACATCAGTTCAAATATTCATGAGAACTTGAGAATGGCTGTTCTTCTTGGCATAGCTGTTCAATGTAACTGACTACAACAGTGATCTCATTTTCAATGAACTAATACTCTAAATGTGAGGATAATTCAAAGAATGTGTTATCATTATAGTCTTTAACTATAATGTTGCACTGTTTTTTCCTTTCTATTTTAGCCAGTTCTGAAAGCTCCAAACATGATTTGTCAGTGAGTGTACAGAATGAGGATGACTTTCAACATTTCCCACCTCCACCTTCACATCTTGAGATTAGTTCTGTTGAGCTTCCTCCAAAGCATTCAGAGAGCTCCAAGATCAGTCATACTAGGTCAAATGTAGCAGCTTTTGAATTACAGCTTAACTCTGTGGAGAAGAAAACCAATGGAATTCATCCTACCCATGGAGTCAATGGCATCGTTAATGGCAACACCAAAACTGACAAATCTCCTCACCCTGGTGGCTTGCTTTCACCCACAAAAACACCGCCACCTGTGCTTGCTAAACCAAAGCTGTGAGTAATTCTTTGTCATTATTTATTCTAATATTAAGCAGAGGTATTTCATCTTTCTCTCACTGGCGCCAAGATTTTAGCAGATAAAATTTCAACACATCCAGAAGACACCAAGTTAAAGAAGGTCATGTTAGCTGATTAAAAGCACACATAAAATCATGAAGTATGAAGAATATTAATGCTTCTGGAGGGTTGTTTCACATGTGATATTCTCTTCCATATTGGGCTACATTGGTATAATGGGAGTGAAAACTCAACTTGAAATCATTACTTGGCCATGAAGCTTACTAAGTGGCTTTTGGTCAGTTATTGTGACTCACCCAAACATGAGATGCATGGAGTGGAGGGACAGAAGGAATCTGGTTCAGCACCTTATAATGCATAATATAAATCTAATATCTGTTCAACATTGTGCTTACATCAGAAGTATATAGTTCCTATTATGATGTATACATATGTGTATGTATGTATGTATATGTATATATAGGACCTGGCTTCTATTTTAACCTAATTTAATTTATTTAATTTAGGCACCATCTGACTCCAGACTGATTGTGGATGGTGTACAATGAAACCAACCAAACAAATTCTAGTATTTCTAGCAATTCTGGCAGGTTGGGCATGTTACGGATCCTGTTAGCCAAGGAATGTCAGCTGGCAGGGACTAGGAGACGTGCCTTCTCTGCTGTAGCCCCTGCCCTCTGGAATATTCTCTCTTCAGAGATTAAGATAGCCCTGACTCTGTTGGCCTTTTGTAAGGCCATGAAGACCTGGTTATGTGCCCATGTTAAGGGCCCCTTTTCTTGGCTATATTAACATCTATGGCAATAGTTTTATTCGGTGACCATATACATTTATTTGTATTGTTTTAATTGTTTTATGTTTTTATGATTATATGCCGCCCAGTCACTTGCTGAGATGGGTGGCTATAGGAACCAATCAATCAATCAAATAAATAATTCTGGGTGGTTAACGTCAAACAACTGATTTTTTTCTGTGCAATCTCAAGTGATGATATAATCCAGTCTTCCTCATCTGATATCCTCCAGATGTGGGAATGATTATAGGAATTGATTATGGATAATTATTGGAGTTGAAATGGAACTCATCTGAAGAACAAAAATTTGGAAAGGTGGGTTTGTATGTAGAGACATACATACATACATACATACATGGAAAAGCATCACATACCATACTAAGCAAAATTACATACAGCACATATATTTCATGTTTTTTTCGGTTTTCTGCATTTCTTCTCATTATGTACTAGTCCTGTTATTATATGTAATGAATTATCTTAATAGGTTTTTGTTATTCTGATTAACTATAAAATACCTGATCACTTTATCAAAATTGGCATGATGGCCTGTGGAATAGTATAGGCAGTCCTGAACTTTAAAATGTAGCAAAGAATATTTCAGATGTGTAGATTGTAATTCTGAAATACTGTTTTATGAACTCGGTGTGAGACAGGAGAGAATGAAGACTCAAAAAACCCAGTTGAATAGAAATTTAAAGCTGGTAGTTCTGTCTATAGGTAAGTCCCACATTTTGCATTCAGCCTTCATTCTGAATCATAGGTATTGTGGATCACACTTTTTTTTTTCTTGTCTAGACATAAATCACAATAATTTTGATCATTACATTTTAAATTTATATCATAGGGCTTGTAAAATGCCACCATTTCTTTGAGCTGAGTTTGGAGCAAAAGATTTTGTTGGGCATATGCTGAGTACCACTATTGTGTTCAGATTTGATACAAAATATTGTTGGTTTCTTGTCTGAGAAACATATGTTATAGTTCAATCATAAACTCATAGTCTGTTGCTTAAATAATAGGATTACTAATGTATAAACCAGAAGTCTGATAACACTTGGGAAGAGAACATACGCCAACCAGTCAGTGCTGATTATGGGGATTGTAATTCGCAGTGCTCTAGGCTCAGTTCAATGGAGGTAGGTAGTTGGAGGCAATGACAGTGGGGAAAAAAGCCAGAATTTTGAAAAGTACTGAGTTATAGTACATTTTTTCCTGCTTCATTCTTCCTATAAATGGAGACTCACCAGGATGAAAAAGATAACTGTTGCATTTCAACTGGGATGCTTGGTTTTTCACTCTATTAACTGAGTTTGAAGCCAGGACTTGAGGTTGTCCCAAAATTCCTGACAATTGAGAGTAACAAGCTAGGAGTTTTCAGGCCCCGCTTAAGATTTTTAATGCTGCTAAGTTGCTGGCCATTGAAGTGTGCTTATGAATAATATACCAGAACACTTTAGATTTTTTTACTTATTGTTTTGTGTGAAATGTCCAATTAAGAGTGGGTGACAAGCCAAACTAAGAGATGTTATAACTGGAGGTGACAAGAAGGGAAAGTTGGCAAATGTAGTTCCTGACCCACGGGCTGAGAATTTTCATTTCTCGTAAGACAATTGCAGAGACAATGAAACAGGACCACTTAACAATGCTTCCTGCTTTATTTATTGTTTGGCTTGCTTACATCTTAAATAACTCCAACAGATAACTCTGTTTACTTTGAGAATCAAAACAGTAGATGTTTTCAAGTCATGTTTAAAGGACTGTGATAGATTGTATAGTTTTTTATGCATAGTCTTGTATATCAGGCACTCAGCCTATAGAAGATGTAAGGAAGGGGTGTTAATATTGGTGGTGATGGCTTCTTTTGCATATACTTAGTCAAATAGAAGCTGTGTTATGCATGTTTCTGCATATGTATACGCATGTATGTAATTTCATTTCATTAGTTTGCTGTAAACCTGATAAAGGGTAGCTGAATGTTCAGACTGATGTGACCGAAAAGTATTTCATTTCATGTGACATGCAGGATTACCAACATTCTGTTACTGATACTTCAGTCGCATGTGCAAGTCATCATTAAATACTGAAGTTTATTTTATTTATTTTATTTATTTATTAAATTTCTCACCCACCCATCTCCCCCCAATTACTTTACTGTACAATTATACTTGTTCTTCATTTCAAATTGAAACTCAAGGGTATAAAGATTTGAAATAATCCCACTTCAATTTCAAAAAAGATACAAGCCATTCTGAATCACAAAAAGCATAAATATGTTAGTATCCATGTTCCTTGCATTTAAAAATTACATTGGATGAAATCTGTAGTGATCATTTAGCTTTACTGTATCATTTCTTAAGGCTTTAACATTATTAGAATCAGTAGGACTTTCCAATTAATAAGTCAGTTTAAAGTACAGTTTACCTTGTTAATCAAGTTAGCCAACATTTATTGATAACTTGTTTTGCAGTTGACTTAATTTACTTTCCAGTTCATTAAAAACTGAAATCTGGTTCTTTTTCTTCCTTGTTGCACAGAATTACAGTAAAGGGGAGATTTGAGAATCTGGGAGTGCACCCAAGATATTTTCTACTCATTTACGTGATATGAAACTATGATTTAAAGTTTCCATATAAATGCTGTTACCCATTTAGTTATTCAAACACTTTTTTACAAATGATTATTTTTTCATGCATGTATTGAATATATTCTGCAAGAAATTGTTTTAAAGGAGATTGAATTCTAGATTATGTGGGCCAGCAAACAGTAAGATATAATAGTTCTTACATTGCTTGACCTTCCAGAGTTTCAGTAACTCAGCTGGCACTTCTTAATCTCAGTTTGAGACGTGTGTTTCAAATACTTTATGATGTATAAACACTTTTCATTATAAAATGTGTATGTTAAAGCTAGGTCCTGGAATTTTAAACATTTGAAGATCAAATAAGTGATGAAGTTACAGCTGTTTTATTTCACTATGGATGGTTTTGAGAAAAGTTAGTTCATACTTACATTCAGTTATAATAACTAAATTTGCTACAGATTAACAATGTCAATTAAGGCTTGATTTATACTGGAGAAAGACCTTATGGGAAGTCATTTAACATGTCTAAGTTTTCTATGTATCACTGGTCTCATATAAATGTACTCACAATTTGTGTGCAGTGTAATATGCCAGAAGTGTACACTTCTATCAGTTGCTGATGTATTGCTAAATTAAAACATAAATGGATGAGTGCATTGGAATATGTCCAGATGTATAAAAAGAGATTCTAGGGGTAAGAAATTTCCTGTGGTCTGCATCCTTGTTATATTCATAAAAGTTTGAAATACTTTTTATCTGAATTTCAAGACATATCTATGCTGGTATTTTACTAAGATCATGGCCACAAGTGCACATATTTGCCTCATAGTTTATTTGCCACATCTGTTGAGGTTCTTGTCACCTCTACCTTCTTGGCAAATTATGATCTCAGAGTTCTAAAACTTGCTGTATTATTAGATAATATAGGACTATATGAGTTCTTCATCACAAAGTATAACATCTGTGAGTTTGCTTTCTCAAATTTTTGTGTAACACCTCTATTAAAAAAATCAACAACCTTGGAAACTCTGTTTTAAAAGTTGTCTCACTCATGTACTAGTGAATGCATGTAGCACTACAAAAATGCAGTGAATGTATAACAACATCTATAACTTCAGGTTGGATTTAAAAATGGCTTCTACCATTCAAATTGCTTTTGCTCACATAAATATACCTCTAGTACCAAGGATGTACTGGTCTATAAAAGCTAATGTGTTTTTTCTCCTATTTATGTTGGAGAATTGCTGAGAAGGACAAATGGCACTTGAAAGAATGATAATTACCTTTATAGGGCTTTTTAAATGTCAGTTGGTTCCAGTATAGCCGAACTCTTAGTTCAAGTATACACATTTGACATGTTGACAGCCTGTTGAATTCCCAAAGCTTTCTGCAGGAGAGCTGACAGTGATTTTTTTATTTTTTTTAAGTGCAACTCCCTCTTATCCTATTTGTTCTGGAATGCTTTCTCAATTAAGAAAATGTTCATAGTGTTTGCCTAGTATGACCAAAGACTCTGAATGGACCACAGTTGTCAGAGTAGCTGTTGGCCAGACCTTTAGAAATGCTGAGCACCCTGAACTGAAAATAATGAAGCTAGAATCAA